CTGGACTTCCATGCCAATGAGTTTGAACAAAGGAAACTAAGGACCTGCTATGTGAACGATATTGTCTTCCGAATGATCGGAACCGCAAAGAAGCCCATAATCTAGAGCCCTACACCCTAAACCCCTATAATACATTATAATATACTACAATGTACTATAATCTACTATAATATACTATAGTATAAACCCTAAACCCTTAACCTGAGGGACTCTGGGGTTGAAGCGGGCTTTGGCTTAAAGGTTTACAGCTGTCAAAGTTGGCTTTGGGAAACTTGCATTCTGAAGCAACAAGACCCTTCTGCAGCCTTGGGATGGCTGCGCCTTCCAGGTTCCCTCGGTACTGTAGCAATTAAGGGTTTAGGGTTTAGGGGTTTAGGTTTAGGGGTTTGGGGTTTAGAGTTTAGGGGGTTTAGGGTTTAGGGTTGTTTAGGGCGTGTTTACGGGTTTAGGGCTTAGGGTTTAGGACTACCCTCAAAGACTTTTTCATGGAAATCCTTAAGTTGATTCAGATGCCATCTCCCGCAGCCCAGATCAGGTGGGTCTGGGGCCCCGAACTTCTTAGTATATTAGAGTAGATTACAGTAGACTATAGTATATTCTAGCATGCTATAGTATATTATTGTATACTATAGTATAGTATACTGTACTATACTAGAGTAGATTATAGTATACTATAATATACTTGTCCCAGAACGCCACCTGCAAGTCCAGGCATCGTTGATCTACGTCTTATCTTTAGCCTTGCAGATAGTGGCTATGAGCCCGTAAGCCAATGGACATATAAGCTCTTATCTAGAATCTTTAAAAAGGGGTTACACAGGAGATTTTAGAGGGGACTACCACAGGGATTTAGACTATGGTTCATATTGTGAAGTCACGTGGGGTTTCAAAGCCCTTCCATTCAAATCCGACTCTCACACCTTCAAACTTCTCCTTAACTGCTGCACGCCCTTAAGCCTAAAACCCCAAGCCCAAAGCAAGATGGCCTTGGGTGATAGTTGATGATGTCACCTATTATTGTACAAGGAACCTCCTCATGAAGAATTCTGGAGGCTTTGAGGGTATCACCCAGTAAGCCCAGGTCTCAAAACGCACGCGCAGGTGGTAGCTGGAAGCTTCGAGAACCTTCTGGCCAAGCGCTTGAAGGACAGCCGTGTTTGCCGGTGTGGCCTACCAGAAGTACTCCGAAATAAGGATCCGAATATTTGGTGGGGCGTATAAGGTGAGCCCTGTTTTGAGCAAAGCTCGCTTGAAGAGCACTTCATGTTTGGGCGGTTAGTTTAGGGATTGAAGGGTCCGGGTGTAGGGTCCAGCCAGTTACATGTATCTCAAAGCTATAGAATTGGAAAGATGTCGCCAGCTGTGGGAAAGGACGGGAACCCTAAACCACCCTCAGCCATAAATCTTAAACCCCGAAAGTAGCATCCTCAGTACATGTTTCTTACGCCAGGTTTTGATCATCTGCAGAAAGGAACCCTTTGTGTGCAGGCTCTTGGGACTCGAATGTGAGTCTAAATGGGGGTTTCCCAAAATACGGAGTACCTTTTTAGGGGTCCCCATAATACGGACTAAAAAAGCATGTTGGGGTCTCTATTGAATTCCCCTGTTTTGGGAAAGTATCAAATAGGTCTCATGCTGTACTTCAGAGGCCTTGCAGGTAGCCTGCAACACCTGTGATGGGAAACAATCTGCTTTAAGGTTATGAAACCTTCCTTCATCAGGCCGGATCAACCTACCCCTAGGAGACAGTCCCCAAACGCTGAGGGTCTCCCATGGTCTTGCTTTCTGTGTGTGTGCACTGGGGGCGGGGACGGGTTTCATGGTGAAGTATGGTGATTCGATCATTTGCCAACCTTCTTGCACAAGCTGCAAAGGCTCAGAGTGCCATGACGGCCAAAACAGACCAATTTTTTGAAGACCAGACATGCAACCACATCGGGATGTCTAATAGTATTTACGGCCCATGCCCCCATGTGGCATATGCGGGCCCTTAGTTACTCGTAGTGTTTGCATCATATTCCCTCCTGTGAGGTAGTGGACCCCCCTAAACCCAAAAACCCTAAACCCTAAAACCCTACACCCTTTTGAAGGTTCCTGTGGAGTTGTTCACTTCGAACCTGACTGCAGATCCCTCCTTTAGCCGTCATATCCTCAGCAAGTGTCAGGCTTCAGGGTTTAGTCAGGTTTAGGGTTTAGAGTTTAGGGTTTAGGGTTTAGGGTACGGCGATAATGGAAAAGAAATGGAAGCAATAGGGATTCTGGGGGTCATGTATGGGTTATTTAGGGATTATAAGGGTGTATATTGGGGTTATATAGGAATAATGGAAAATAAAATGCAAACTACCATAGTATAATAGGGTGTGTATGTGTGTGTGTATATATATATATATTGGGGGGTATTGTGTTTTAGTGCTTTAGGGGTTGGTTAGGGGTTTAGAGTTTTAGTGTTTAGGGTTCAAGTATTGTGGAGGGCTGAATTACGATTAACATTATGCCCGGCATTTATTAAGCTTGGTCCCTTGAAGCGGATTCGGTATGCAGATATTAAAAGCGGGGAGACTTAGGGCTTTGGAGCATCGAATGCAAGTAAACATGGAAAAGGTGATGAGCACTTGGTTTTGCATAGGGCTTGGTGTAGTGATTATAATGTAGGTTCCTTAATGCCCAGAATAGGATTTTGGCGGATACTACCGTATAGTTACGAAACGATGGTGAGTGGAGAGCACTGTCGTTTTTCTCAGGCTTCTGGAGCATGTGTCAGTCTGATGCCTATATGATGCCAATAGAAGCCTGGAAAACACCAAGAGTATTCTCTAATAGTCCTCTGTAATTTACCCCAACAATTACTCGCACCAATTTAGGTACTTTAACATAGTACCCTTATGCCAATCTCTAGAATCCCAGCCTCCATTAGAATCCCAGCCTCCATTTATTTTCTTCATGGTCTTGTCCATTGGATTCGCCATTATTGTAGCTGTTTAGACCCCTCCCTAAGCCCTAAACCCTTACTGAGATGAAGGTCTGAGTTGTATCACACTTGCTTATTCTTCGATGCATTCTGCAGTTGTATACCCAAACCGTCCCCAGACCTCCCTTAATAAGCCTCCCCACCCCCTAATGATAAATCCTCCCCATTTGTATAATAGCAGTATGTTGGGGGCTCTATATTATCAGAAGGGGTGGGGTTTCATTATTAGGGGAGGGATTACAAAGTTATACTCCAATTTTGAGCCCACTACAGGCCCCAGGTTTCCTGACTTGGCTGAAATTGGGTGTTGATTAAGTACAGTTATGATGTGGAAGGTTAACCCAACATGGAATCGGGGGTAGTGCAGAAATGCTGTTCAAGTTTCCATGTCTTGCTGTGTAGCACTGAGGTTCCTCAAGAACATTGCGCGTTTGGGGCTTTGGATTTCAGACATTCCGCGTTCTGCGCGGTGTTTTTGTTTGCGATTCCGTGTTTGGGTATAGCGTGTGGGCTTGCTATTGAGTTGCCTTTGGGGAAGCTCAGTCTAGGGAGGGCCACTCTCATAGATGCTCAAGTTGTCAGACAAGCTAGAGTAGAGGGCGCCTTCTCCGCAAACGTGCGAGCCTTTGTAGACGAGCTATGATACAGGTCCGTACAAATCTGTTTGGGGTTCGTAGGGCTCTAAGCTTAGCTGAAGTGTAGTTCGGCAGACACAGCAGCAGAGCTTGCTCACGACATACATATAAGAACCCAACCATCCAACACTTGTCCCCTTATCAGGCTGATCAGGATACCTTTCAGGCATCGACTTGCGCAAGAAAGACAACCCTAAACCCTGAACCCTAATAGTTTCTAAAGCAACGCCCAATCTTCACCTTAGCCTAAGTGTTGTGGACTGGAAGATGGTTGTCGTTGTGGATCCTGGACCCAAACGATCCCAAACACTAAGCCCCAGATAATATGTACAATGTTAATAGTACAAGTAATATTCATAATATTAGAAATATTGAAAATTGCAAAAATATTAATAACTTTAGAAATACATTCCAAATATTGATACTACTGATAATGTCAGACTCACCATCAGAGACGGGCGCCCAGGCAACAGCTTCCGCACCGGCCCCGGATGGCAGAGGAGTGTCTTTGCCCAGGACCTCCACGCAGCATAAGGCAGGTATCATTTCTAGACCTTTGGGCCTAAGTAAGGTAGTATCATAGACTTAGCCCCAGTGAGTACCAAACCACACCTGGCAAAGGAGGTCCTAAGTTGGTAATAACCTTCAGATTGTGCCAGTGGCCGAAGGGGCCCCTGGAGGGTACACCGTACGAACAACCCCGCTGAAACCTAAATCCTGAAGGTTTAGGATTACCCATGTGCTGTTGGCAGTAGATGAGCTGTTAAGCTTTGTCAGTTGCCTCCACAGGAACCCGACACCCCAATCCCTAAGCCTTGCGGTTTTCATGGATCCAAATACAAGAGGTACGCGTAGCAGATGCAGAACCTTTCTAAAGACGACCAAGCATGCTACCTGATTCACCTGTCTTGGGATTAGATGGGAGTACTCTGAGGGACCCTAGGGATATCTGGGGATCACAGGGAGATTCTGCAAGCCCTACTTGAGGATGTTGCTTGTGGCCACACGCCTTCTTGTAGTGCTGATCCGGAACTTGCAAGCTGGAACCCCAGATGGGTAGTTCTCAAAATGATGAGCAACTTTTGGTTCTGGATTGTTTTACAGCACCTAATCCTTGGGGGTACCAAAACGGGAGCCTAATGCGCTAGCCCTGGACCCCAAGCGCCCCAAACACCTTAGGCCCTATCTCATTTCAGGGGATAAACCCTCCTCGTATTGCTAAAGCCGTTCCTTATGTGCATGTTCCATCTGACTATTGTCGTTGGTCTGGATGAGGCCTAAACCACTAAACCCCAAACCCCTCCACCCTAAACCCAAAACCCCTATACCCTAAACCCAAAACCCCTGTACCCTAAACCCTAAAACCCGGGCGAAAATGAGGTCTTGAGTTGAAGGTCATGTGCAGCGAGCTTCAGAAGGCACTGGCTGTCTTGGAGCATTGGAGTTGAGAGGATGCGGTTTAAGGCTTTGGGGTTTTGAGCCTTGGGTTTGTGGAGCATTCTGGGGTCGGCTTTGTTTGAAGTGCTTGGCGTCCTGGGGATTGGGGATTGGGGTTTAAGGTTTAGGGCTTCGTGTTTTGGATTTCAGGTCGGAGGCTTGGAGGTGAGGCTGTGCAGGGTGCGCATGGCAAAGTTTTTGCATTTAGGACGACATTGCTCCATGACCAGTTGCCGCTAACCGGCACTGATGGTGGAATCTTGTTCAAAAGAATCCCTATCACCGCTGGTATACATGCATAGTGCTCTACAATCCCCTTACATCTCTAGGGTGGCTTCAGGAACCCCGGCTTTGAGAAAGCCCCTATATGATGAAGCACCTCTTGTCTTCCCAGAACCCATGAACCCCACACCCACAACCCTAAACCATCCTAAACCCTAAACCCCATACCATCGACCATATCTCTGGTCCTAGGTCCTAGGACAGATTCAGTTTTTTGGCATGCTTATTTGGCATGCTTAGCATCACATTTGCAGGAAGCCTGTCGCCTGCTTATGCTTAGGTGTGATTAGGCGCGAGTACCTAAGGGCTCTTACGTAGTTCCTTTTTTGGTTTGTTCTGGTTTTTTGGGCAGAGATTATAATCTACTACCCAAAAAGGAACTACATTGGAGGTTCGGATTAATGTTAAAAGCTCGGGTGTCAGGGTTTTGGTGCTTATTTGGGGAGGGGGTTGTAGGGCTTTTTATTCTGAAGTTACTTGGTAACTATTATGTAGGGGTCCATTCCTCCATTCTAAGCGTGAGTAAGCTTTCGACTTCTGCCCGCCCAACGATGAACTTCCTAGCAGTGGAGGGTCAGATCATCCGAGCTCTACCTGCGATTTGCCTTACTAGGGAAGTTTAGGGTTTACAGGGTTTAGTGTTTATAGGGTTTAGGGTTTATAGGGTTTAGGGTTTGGGGTTTACAGGGTTTCGGGTGTAGGGTTTGGGAACCTAAGCCCAAAACACAAAACCGTGCGTACTCCAAGATAGACTTCAAGACCCCCGAACTCCTAAACTCCTGAAACCCAAGACCTTACAGCAAAGGATCCAACAGCCCAAACCCTGAACTTCTGTTTGGGTTTCCCAGCAGGATCCTTTTCCTTTTTTGGGCTCCTAACAAGATTAGGGTTTCCCTAGCTGTGGGAGGCCCAACCTCTGACTTTCCACAAGCTCAGCGGCGTGCCTGCTCTACCCGGCTTCCAGGAGAACGAGCTGAGGCTAGACAAGGATCAAGATAGGACTTAACGTTTAGGGTTGAGGATCCCGGTTTTAGGGTCCAGGGTTCAAAGGTTGAGGGCTTAGGGTTTAGGGTCAGGGTTTCTCACAAACTACTGAGTTCTGTTCAACATCCAGCCCTCCCTACCCAATACTACAGGCAACATTGAGCAAAATCAGGGTGGATAAAGCTGTATCAACACTTACGTTATGGTAGAAGGGGACGTTATCTTTGATGTCGCTACTGTAGGACTTGTAGGAGTAGATATTTGGGGTTGTCGTAGTTATGCTGTGGCGGTTTTGGTGGCTATGGAGCCTATGTAATTCAGCGAAGGGAACCTCATGTTTCTTGTGCTGTGCGAGTACCCCGCTGCTCCTACCAGAATAGCGCGACTCTGAGTGCGCAGGGCCAAGACAGACCCCATTTACATTGGAATACTTATTATTGGAGCCACCAAAAGGGGACCCAATGGGCTCTAAACCCTTTCAAAAGCAGGGCCTTCTCCGACTGTGACAAGAAGCTGGAGATCGTGAATCAGCCGCACTCCTAGCTGAAGGCTTTGGGAAGGCGAAGCGCCGAACTTAGAAACCTGAATATTTTCCAATATAGGAGCCCTTGCAGGGGGATAGACAGGGTATGCAGGGTGTAAAGTGGGCTCTATACAGATATATCAGGATGTGTATAGGGTTTAGGGTTTAGGGATATTACCCCCAATAGTGGCAAATCAAATGGAGAAGAGCATGGAAAAACAAGTTGAAACTGAGCTTATATAAGCCATACTCTAAACTCCTCAACAGCGGTTATAGGAGAATTATCTAGGGGACTACTATAAGGGTTATCCAGGGGCATACTAGGAGTTAGACTATAGCTCATATAGGGGTCTGCAGGGATGATTACCAACATTGTGATCCTAGATTCCTAGATTCCTTGTAGATCGAAAAGACCTCAAAACCTAAACCCTTAGCCCTACATCCTACATTATTCAGGCCCTAGGAGTTTTGAAATTGGTTCAGCCTCGGGGGTTCCTTCAGGGTTGTCCGGATGATTCCGGAAAGGGCTTAGGGTTTAGGGTCTAGAGTTTAGGGTCTAGGGCTTAGACAAGGGTTTAGGGTTTAGGGGGGAGCACCGAAGCCCGAACTAGGCGTTTGAGTTGTATGTGATGTATTTTTCATTCGGGGCTTCTGGGGCTTGGTATCAAAAACCCTCTGCCCTCCGTACTCCAATAGTTTCTATTTGCTTGTTCATTCCCCTAACATACAACTCAAACGCCTAGTTCGGGCT